TTTACATAACTACTTGTTATAAACACAAGTAACATCCATATTGATGATATAATTAAGGTAAGTTAATTCTTGTTATTTTTTAATAAGCACAATATTGTTTAATTTGTGATATTTGTAACTAAAATTACCTAAAATTTGATAAAAAAATTATATTTAAAATACTTAATTGTTTTAACTGTTTAATACTTTTATAATAATATTACAAATAGCAATTTCAGTTTTAAATACTAGTTTTATTTAAATGTTACTTTTAGAAAAGTAAAGGTGTTTAGTATGCCATGCAAAAATATTTGAGAATCATAAAATGGAATAATTTTTAAATTTAAGTGTTTTTGCATGTTAAGATTCAATAATTTTCAAAAATATATATTTTATATTTATATTTCGTTCACATACAAACAAAACAATTATTACAAATTGAATAAACACATCAAAATTAATAAAAATTAAAAAACTAATAATAACTTAAATAATAATAATTCAAAATAAAATTATAATATTTAGTATTCATATGGTAATGAAAATAAATATTTGATCAACTCGGTGGTAATGGTGTATTTTCATCAGAGTCATCATCATCTTCTTCTTCTTCATCGTCTTCTAACTCGGGCATGGGAAATCTTAGTATGGCAGCAACACCAGTAATTTGAGATAATTCTAGATAAATAAAAATAAATTTAATACAAAAATGATTGAACATAATATTAACTTACGTTCTCCAGTAACATGCATGCTTGAAAATATTTTGACGTCACCCCCAGATTCTTTGACACTATCAACGAGTTTAACATAACGTTTACGCTCATCAATATTCTGACTCCTAAATAATGAAACATTTCTATAAGCAATAATAGGATAAAATTTAGCACACTTACCTAAATAAGCTATCAGTGATAAGTAATGTTTCGATTCCCAATACTTCATTAGCTTTTTCAACATGATTTATACCATAAAAAGCTCTTGTTGATTCAGATTGCAATATTTTATAAAAGTTATCCAATACTTTCAATTCACCTAATGCTTTTGTATCTTCAAGTTTTGCAGCTATAGATGGATTTGATAAAACTTCTAAAAAAACAATATATAAATATTAAATACTAGTTATCATTGAGCTATTTTCAAATAGCGAAAAATTAACTTTAATTTTTAAAAACATTTAAAATTTAACATTTAAAATTTTAAATAGTTGTAATGCCATATAAAATATATAATATAATTAATTAAAAGTTAAATGATATAGACAGTTAGAAGACTATTTTGACAAAAGCGATCGATTTTTCTAAATTCACTTTTTGTCACTTGGGCATAAAGGACATTACGACGCATATATATTGCTGACTTAGGTATTGATATATTGAACAATATTTATTTTATTGATGTTGAATTATTCTTTGTATGCGACAAAAGTGGCAGTTATGAATACCTAGGTTGTAAGCATCACTAAATGAATGTATACATTTGCAAAAATGTGAAATGTTGTTTGCAACATTAATGTCACTTAAAGATTTTTATACATTTTCTCACATGTTTGTGAGTTGGTTGACTCAGTGAGGATGACACACAAGTGTAGGCTGACCATCGCCCATCAAAAACTGGTCTTTGCTGAGATTTCTGCTAGACGTGAATAAGAATATGGTTGTTTATCTTTAAAAAAAATCTAAATTTAAGAGTTTGGCATAAACACCTTTTTAAAAAATGTTTTTAAAATGGATAGTAAATGGCAAAATTTGAGTTAAAATTAAAAAAAAAAAAAATTATAGTTTATAAATGTAGAACAATGTAATCTCCCTTAAATGGATTTAAGGCTCTCCTGAAAAATTTGGTTTATGGCGATTACCCCAAATAGCCTTCTAACAGTCGATATATTCAAATACGAACCATCTATAAAATTCTTACATTGGTTTTATAATATACAGACCATACTTTCAAATGAAAGTAACACATTTTTACTGTAAATCGTTAAGCAGATGATTTATTCTTATTGAAAGAGTTCCTTTTGAGTTTTCAAATTATATTATGTACAAAGCATTAAAGAGAAAAGGTAATAACCCTGCTTAACAATTAACATAAAAAAATTTAGAATACTAAATACGATTCACAAATATGCAAAGTTGAAATGGTAACAAAATTGTTTTCATATTTTTTAAGGGAAAGAGAGGGTTATATTTTAATGTAATTATTATAGTATTCATCAGTTACTTCTGTTGCTAGGTTGAATAAGCTTAATCCAAATATTTTCTAAAAAGATCATACCTATAACTTAAGATCCATATTTTCAAATAGGTACTTAGATTTTTATACAGTTCAAGGACAAAATTATTTTTTTTAATGACAACTATTTTATTAAAATACATATATTTTGGGCAAGAGATAAAATTTTTCTTTTTTACTTTTATAATACATTTTTTTTAGTAACATTATAATCTATAATTTTACAGTACTACAGCATAAACAGGTTAAAAAACAGTTACTTTTTGAAAAAAAAGTTTGTCCTTAAACTGCATAATAAATTAAGTATTTGAAAAAATAATTTTTAACTAGTAACTTTTAAGTATTATCTTTTTTAACCTTGGATAAAACTGTAAGTTGATGATCCTAATAAACAATTATTAGTTAGTAGTTTAGATATGTTTGTTACCAATTGGTAATTATCTGTTAATAAAACTTATATTTTAATTGATAACTATACACAATATATAAAAAAAATWAAAAAAATATTATTTTCATATCTCAAAATCAAAAAAATTAACTAATAATAATAAAATATCAATCTTACCTTTCAAAGAATGTTTGAACCCACTTGATGCATGGGCAGTTATAAATTTAGATTTATTTTCTAATATTGTCTTGTTATCTGTTTTCACAGCTTCTTGCATCAAATATTCGAAAAATTGATCCCTCACAAAACCAGGACTTGCAATTATTGTGCACTTAACAACATCAAATCTGATATGACGCAATATTGCTTGCATCACCAAGTCGAAAAATCTTAAAATTCCCTACATTGTTTTTTTTTTTTTTTTTGATAATTAATCAARTGTTCTAGAATGTATGTTTATTTAAATACTTTTTCATGTTGTTTTACATCTCCTTTTCGTTTCCGTGGTATATTTTGGTCAATTTTGGCACGTACAATTGTTCGACTACCAGAAATTAAGCATACATGTGCTAAACCTTCTTGCATTATGATAGCTGCTACATCTGCTGTCTAAATTAATTTTGATAGTTTAGAATAGTTTGAATAAAGAAATATTAATAATTGATAAAACCTGTGCTGGATCAGTGGCCATTTCAATTCTTCCTAAATCGATAGAATCCCACTCTTCTTTCATTAAAGTAAATTTTCTGTTTAGTTCCAAATCAATAGTATGATAAGCACCCATCTAAAAATACAAATATAGTAAACATGTTTAAAAAAACAGTCTAACAAGTCTAATTTTTACATAGAAGGTATTGAATAACTMGTCATTCAGTAAACCACATTAATTATATGTAATTTGTATTCAATAATAAATCGAGTAGACAGTCAACCAGCCTATATTTCTAAAGATATTTTTAGTAAAACATTAAGTAAATCAAGCTGATGTTATAAATTATTTGCATATATTATAGAATTTATACAATATACAATTTACAATATTATGTCAATAACTAAATAAAAACTGTTAGTATAATAGTTTTATGAGGGTAATATTTATTTTTCATTCTGCTTACATAAGAAATGTAATGTAATTAAAATAAATCTAATCATAATGGTAAATCCACCCAGCAATTAAAATATTACAATAATGTATAAACATAGTACATGGACTACAGCGTAGATCACATATTACATTCTAAATTATGCAATACATTGCATATTACATGAATACCTACAAGATAATATTACTAGTTGTAATACTTATAACTTTATAAATCAATACCAAAATTGTTAAGCGTTCAAAGTTGCAACTAAATACAATTTTTTATCATAAACCATCATCATAAGTTAAAAATAGAAATTTTTTTACTGCTTCTACAGACGACATTACGACAAAAATAAATAAAAATAAAACATTGAAAAACCAAGACATTAATTGCTAAGTATCTAAAATAATCACTTACTTTGACATACTCATTTTCTTCAATATTTCTTCCCTTTAACCGCAATAGACAAGCTTGAGTGTCAAAATCAACAGACTCTACACTAATGGTTAATGTTGTTCGTACTCGATGACTAGTGGATGATCCAGTAGCTGATTCATTTTGTACTTTTCTGTAAAGTTATAGTAGATAGAGTAACTATTGAATACCAATTATGATAAGTTTAAAATGTAGATCATATGTAGGTTTTTACTATTTATAGTAGATAACCAAGATAGATTACCATTTCAATACATATAATATATTTTATAAAACTTGAGTAAAGATCAACTATAACAATTTTCTAGAACTTGAACTCTGTCCAAAACAAATCATTAACAAAGATTTAAATTCATAAAAAGTTATTGATTTTGTAGAGATTATTTCTAATGAGATAGTCAAATTTAAATATATTGTGTATAAAAAATTTAGTTTACAAATATTTAACTATAAAATTTATTTTAATRACTTGGAAATTAAAAAAATTGATTATAACGTTTGTAATGACTTTTAGTTTACTTTCAATACCTTATAGTTGATGCACGGATTTGATCTCCTTTTCTGATAATATTGTAGGCCTGCCACATGTCTTCAGCTTCTTCAGGTATGAGAACAATGACCCTAACATATTTTGCAAACAGAATTTAAATACCAATTTTGCTATAACAATTTTACAATATCTATCTGCAATTAATATATTGATATAATTTATACAAACCCTTTGCCATCTTTTTCGATGTCTTTATGAACAAGCTTCATTTTGTTATTGCTAAAAATTGTCAATCATTACAAGATAATCAACTCAATTAAAATTACAGTGTATGCTTACGTTTAAATTGTTAAAAAAGTTAATTTGACTTTTTTATTAATTTCATKGTTGGCTCAAAACTACAAAAACGTTACAATAGTACTTAAATATTAGATAACAAGTAAAATTTAATATTTATACAAATCAGTGTAAATATTTGAGACTCAATATTGTAATAACATTGATATTTGAAGCATTGAACTATTTAGTATTTGATAGACGTTGTACAATGTACAATGAACGTGGACATCATTCAATAACCATTGACCGTAGAATAAGATATAAATTTTTTAAATTACTTATCAAATATCATTTGCACGAATCTACATAATATTTTTACTATATGAAAATGAAAGGCTCAGAAGTCAGAATGATTTATGACGCGCGGAATGTGATAACAGATAAGAATTTAGAAACAACAACTCATAAGTGAACTTATGTAGTCATAGATCAAAAAAATTATTTAAATATTTTGTTATTAAGTAAAAAAAAAGGTTAGACAATTTAAAATGTAAATGTGTTAAAAATATTGTTGAATACAATCATATAATTTTCGAAGTATGTWCAAGTACGATTTTTACCTACACATTTTGTATTCTATTTACACTAAGTAAAAATTTAAAAATATCGTCTTAGAATCAACTATTGTTTTGGATACACTGTTCTTTTTATATTAGGCGCTTGTTTTTCAGTCTTTTATTTTTACCGCAAATTTGTCAAAGAAAACTACTGTTGATATTAGTGCATACTGTGCACTGTACTACAACTTTACTGTATGAGGSTTTAAGAGAAATAACTCGAGAAATAAGAATGAGAGCTAAAGTAACTTCTGTTATAATATACCAATTTCTCATAATTTTTATTAATTGATTTCCTGAATCCAAGCGATGTGTTGCTAGTGTATAATCTCAATAAATTTCATCATGGATGAGCGTTGGCAAACATTTTTTGACAAATTTCCAGAAACGGTGACTGGTGAACAGTTACCTGTTAAGTTACCTAGATTTGACTTGGATTTATGTGATTTAGCTGGAGCAGCAGCAGACTGGTGTCATCAGTATTTGAAGGACAGGTAAGATATTTTATAT